TACCTGTCATTTGGAAGACAGTTTTAGCCATGGGCCAGTTTAGAAGGTACTCAAATATCAAGTCCTCCCCTTCAATGTAAACTCCATTGGCATCTGTGGGCCATGTCTTCAGCACAACAACAGACATCAGCTTCCCAAACTTTGTGATATCATGTTTCTCCAGCAGAGCTGAAACAGCTCTACCAGTTTTATCCTGCAAAAAGAAAAAACATCATGTACACCAGTTAGGGACCTACAGTAGCACCTCAATTAGGACACAGTGGTAAATTTCTGCCAATTAATGTTTTCTTAAAAAGAAAAAAAAAATTAAAAGAAAATATGAACATCCAATATTTGTCATGCAAGTGCTTTGGGGAAGAGCTCAATATCTAGAAAAGAGGGATGTACTGCCTTAATTACTGCTTTAATTGCAAGAGCACTATTTGCAAAGATGTTTGGTAAGACCATGTTTTTCTTCCTCTGCAAGGTTTCGTGTCTTTGGGAGTCCTTCATTACAGGTACTCATAATTAAAGCATTGTATGGTTTAACTGCTTCACTGCTTCACAGGGGGAGTTACAATTGTGTATGAATAAACACAATAAGGCAAATCTTCTGCACTTGTACATGATGTTATGAAGCATTTTCAACTGCTTATTCGCTACTTCTCACAATCATACCTGGCAAAGACGCTCAACCGCCTCCACTGCACATTTCTCCAGTGTCCTGCTCAACAATGGACTTGTTTTTCTCAGTTCTTCCATCTTGTTAGAGTATATTCCAATTTGATCCTTTGGTCGCTCCTATCACACAAGCACATATCCTCAGTTTTGTTTCTCTAGTGCACATGGAAAGGATGTAGACACAAACACGACTCCAGTGTTACCTGTTTTAGTTTTCCTTCAAAATCTGCCATGAATGTTTCTCTCCAGAATGACGTGTGCTCCTCATGACTGAAGGATAGCGAGAGTAACTTGACCCATACCTAGAAAGAGAGACATGGATTTTAATACTGCATACAACATCAAATGGCAATCACACTGGGGAACAACAATTGCAATGTGACACCATAACAGAGAAATGTGTACATTTGTCATTCATTTCTGCTTACCTCAATTTCACCAGGTACAGAAAACGTCTGATCCCATTCATTAAGCAGCTTGCATCTGAAGGTGTGTTTCCGCCATTCCCTCATTGTTTCTAATGTCTCCCCAACTGACTCTTCGTGAACTCTCACTCTTGACTGGAATAGCAGTTATGAGTTACTATGAATAACTTCTTTTTCATAATAATAATAAAAATAATAACAATAATAATGAAAATGTACTTTAACACAGTCCATTTTTGATCTGAATTGCACTGATTGCATTTTAGGTATAACTCTTAGCTAGTCTATTATCAGCTTTGCTGTATAACTTATTTTTAATGATTCACATCAAAAATAAGTGGTGGCCCCCCAAGGACAAGGCACCTACAAGAGTGGAAGCACAATCATTAAGAGAATGAATGTATTCCAAATTCAGAAATGCAACAAATACCAAAAAGGAATACAAACAGGGAAAACACAAGCAGCAAGACTTGCTACACCAGAGGTGCTCCAGGACACTGTTGGGGCGTGATGGGCTTGAAGTAGATATTACATTTTTTTCCCCCGACTTCACTGCCTCCATTAATTTTTGTTTACATATGCTTATTTTTATTGAAATGTAAGCACATTGATCAGTGGGTCATCTCAGGATCTGGACTCTGAGCAGCTGAGTTGACGGCCGGTCTCACCCACCAGACGGGTCCTTACATCTCCAAATACGTTGGAGCAAGATTCCAAACAGGTATTACTTGGATAACCTGGCCACATAATTGAAATCTAAATGATTAATTTCTTGCCTGAAAAAATATCAAAATTTAATAAACGGTTAGGTTAAATTAAGCATACGCCTGATGGACAGGCAAAAGCATCTGTAATGTTACTGATTGTCCAAATCGAATCTATCACTCCCCCTAGCAGAGTGTTTCCGGGTCAGCAATTCTTGTTGCATGTGTTTCCCCTATTTATATTGTGTTTTGGTATTTGCTGCATTTCTGGATTTGGAGTGGGTCCCCCTTATTGCTTATGCTGTCGCTTGTATATGTGCTTTGAGCCACTGTGAGTAAGACTTCTACACATAAAACCCCCAAAAAACAATTAAATCATTCACAATATTTAGTAATCAAAATTAGCTGCATTATCTATTTCCTCTATACAAGACAAAATAAAATAACAAAACTGTAAACTGCTCCAAGGATTTCAAGCCTGAACTATGACTTGGTATGGAAACATAAAAGTGTGGCCTGTCCAACAGACTGGTGAGGCTCACCTGGGAAACAGTGTGTTCATATGACTTGGCAATCAGACAGACCAGATCAAGGAAGTAAAGGGGAACATCACAGTGGCCTGGATCTTTTGTGTGAGAGCAGACAGAGCCAAGAAGCCTTACTGCAGTTTTCAGGCAGCACGCTCCATATTGGTCATCAAAACTATGAGAAGAAAATATATGCATTATTGTCATGTATACATAAAGATTACCATAGATATGACTGCACATACCGTGTTAAAATGACATATGCAGGATTTGTTTTTACCTTTTACTGCGATGGCTTTCTCTGTTGATGAGATGTAATGCCAGTTCTTTCAAAGCCTTTAATCCATAGAACAGAAGAAATGTCATTTGTAGACATAGTTCAACATTGATGAGGCCATTTAAGAAAGTGGTAGCTTTTAATTAAGGATACATACTTTGTAGTTTGAGTGAGTTATTCCAGATTTGACAATGAACTGCATGAAATCTAGAATGTCAAGGAGGTGCACTTGCACACTGGATATGAAGCTCATTAGATCATCCACACTCAGCAGAGACATCCAAGAGCGCACAAGACGACGATCAATGTCCGCCAGGTATGCATGGTCTTTCATGATCCCGATCAGACTCCTAATTGAAAGTCAGAGTTGATTATGGTGACCAGGTGCCTTTGACTAAATTTCAACATGATTGCATCAAAAAAAAAAATCACAGGTCTTTTTCTTGACCCACGAGTATTGACTTCCTCGACCTGCCGTTTACTGTTATTTTGGGCCACTGATCTGCACGTCTTTTTTAGGAGATTCTAGTAAATTTTCCTCAGATATTTCAAAGGGTTCCATACTTGTGCTCAAGTCTTTGCAGGAGAGAAACACTTACATACCTTGCACTACTGTCCCTGTATGAATGTGTTCCTTTGCTCCCCTTAAAGCCAGTCCAGGAGTCAAACTGTGGATTCAAGACCAGTGGAACTGGCTCAAATGGCTTGCTTTCTCCTCTCAGCAGGTGAATCAGAGGGATGACCAAGACCCACTTCTCAATGTTGTGATGTCTAGCATGGCTGCAAAGCATCTCAACAGCATCTGCAAGACTGTGCGGGTAAAGAAGTCAGTATTTAATGTATTTACAATGGAAGTGCTTTTTACAGAAATCAAAACCATTCAATATTTGGACATTTTACAATGTTGTTTTTTTATTAATTATATCATATATTAAGTACTTAACTTTTGTTTCTACTCTGTACAATGTTGTTGGAGGACATGGACGACTGTACTCAGATTTACACCTTAAGGGTTCTACTAAACGCAACAAAATGTTTTGCATGCAAAGCCATTGCTGTTTTGGTGAAAGAAGCATCTTTCCACTGTTTTTACATTGTTTTTTTAAATGTTCTACATTTACACTGAAGTGCCATAACAACAGAACAACTTCTTACTCTTTTAATTTAATGACACTGTTGCTGGCAAGGCATGGATTACCACCTACATCAACAAGGCCAATGACATACTTTGCATGGTTTTCAGGGTAAAGCTCATTTCTGTTACCTCCCACTGTCATTGATCTCTTTATTTTGAGTTACAGAATATCTGAAGTGTTGTCATTGACTTACATTTAATATTTGGGTCAGACGAATGTAGAAATGTATTTCTTAAATTATTTGTTGAGTGATTTATGGTAAAAGTGAAGGAAGTAAAGATATGACCTTGGCAGTAGTTTTGTTTTCATGACAAAACAAAGCCTCTTGTACTGACACCCTCAAATATCATCAGAAGATCAATCTTATTATGTTTGGATGTCAAAATAGGAAATCTTGGCTCATGAAAAACCGCAACATGGAAATAATTACTCCCATGGCCTATATCTTGTCTTTAGTAGTTAACAGCTGACTTTTAAACAGAGCTAGCTGGTAGAAATACATCAGCTGTTTTTACATAAACCAGCATTGTGAACAGCTCTATTTTCTGACATCACATACCAAAATTCCCATTTTCAAACATATCCACTTTGGAGACCAACAAGCTCCAGTAATACTGAACAGAAACACGAGTGATTTTGAATTACACAAGTTAAATTAAATTGAACCGAACGGCTGGTACCACATTTGGGCATGGGTCTGTGCAATAGCCTGGTCCTTTTACATTTCTTTTTATAGAATATAGTTACGTTTTGCTTTTCTCTCTATCCCTTTCTTGTTTGTCATTCCTCAAAAGTAGTGCTCTGTTACTACTCTATTTAATGAATACATTTTAAAATGATCCATGTCTAACTTTTAATCTTGAATGAGTTTAACTGACAGGGTCCTCTGACTGATACTATTTCCAGGCAAAGTAATAGTTAACTGAATTTTTAACTTTATATTGATCTAACTATGAGGAGCTCAGGCGGATAGTCACTATTTTCTTAAAACTTAAATCTAAGTGAGCTGTAACATTTAGCTTTTCGTCATTTTTCCTGTTATTATTATTATCATAAGGCAAATCTTCTGCACTTGTACATGATGTTATGAAGCATTTTCAACTGCTTATTCGCTACTTCTCACAATCATACCTGGCAAAGACGCTCAACCGCCTCCACTGCACATTTCTCCAGTGTCCTGCTCAACAATGGACTTGTTTTTCTCAGTTCTTCCATCTTGTTAGAGTATATTCCAATTTGATCCTTTGGTCGCTCCTATCACACAAGCACATATCTTCAGTTTTGTTTCTCTAGTGCACATGGAAAGGATGTAGACACAAACACGACTCCAGTGTTACCTGTTTTAGTTTTCCTTCAAAATCTGCCATGAATGTTTCTCTCCAGAATGACGTGTGCTCCTCATGACTGAAGGATAGCGAGAGTAACTTGACCCATACCTAGAAAGAGAGACATGGATTTTAATACTGCATACAACATCAAATG